TGACATATGTTTGGCAATCCCAGTATAGATGGGTCCAGTGGGAAAGGCATACTGACAGGTATCCCATGCCGGCTCAAACTTGTCTCCCCCAAGGTGATGCTTGGGGTCCGTTGCTGTTAGCCGTTTGGATGTGTGCTGGCTCAAGGGCTGTGCAAACTGCTGTTCCTGGTTTGTACAGTCGCATATACATGGATGACAAGTCGTTTGTCTCAAGATCACCTGAGACCCTTATTGCTGGAGTCCAGGCTTGGCAGGGTTGGAGTTCCTCCGTCGGCCTGCAGGAAAGCAGTAGGAAAACGCAGGTCACTGCTACACAAGCCACGGGTTGTCAGGATTTGGCTCAAAACATTGACCCTGGTTTTGTCACTACTGAATTTCACGTCTTGGGCTGCACGGCTCAGGTTGTTGTTCGGAAAGACAGCACGGCTGAACTCAAACGAATTGCAGCTGCCCAAAAGTCTTTGCAGCTCCTTTCTAACTTGCGTTGGTCATATGAGCGTTTTTGGAAGGCTGTTCAAAGCCATGCAATGCCCAAGGTCAGCTACGGTTGGCTGGCTAGACTTCCTACTAAGGCCACTGCATGGTCTCTGTGGGCGGCAGTGCGCAGAGGACAAAGGGTTCATCAGCATGCAAACAAGTTCCTGCGGGCCATCATTTGGGGTGGTAATGGTCACCTGGATATTTTGCCTTGTGCCACCTTGATTCGCATTGTCTCCAAAATGATTCATTGCAGAGAGGCTCGTTGGGCCGATCGACTCCAAAGTGGGTCTCCGGTGCATACCCTTCATAGATGGTTTTCTAAGCATGGGTACAGAGCCAGTCGGCCGTGGTGCTGGGCCGCTGACCATGAGTCCTTTTTGGTTGATTTATGTCATATGCAAGTACAGAATGCTCGCCATGCTGCTAGGCAAGGGTGGCGGTGGTTCATGTGGAAACAGTTTGTTAACTGTGGTCGCCATGAGTGTGCTGAACTTCAGGGGCTCTCAGTTTCTGATTTTTCTCGCATTGATTTCACATCTCTTCGTAAGAGTGCTGAAAACAAGCCACCATACAGGGCGGTGATTTGCGGTGCTTTGTTGTCGCCTGCTTGTATGCAGGACCAGCAGGTTTTTTCCTCTACATGTCCTTGGTGTGACAACACGCTTGGCCATTGGCACCATGTTGTTTGGGAATGTCCCTCCCGGCCATCTACACTGAGGCGTCCCAATTCACCGGTTTGTGCCAGGTTTGGATGGGGTGCATCTCGTCAAGAGATAGAATGGCTCCAGGTTGCTGCTCAGGCAATTTGGAGCGTGCGGCATGGCAATGCTGCCTTTGACTAGCTGCTGCGGCTGCGGCTGCGGCGGCCTTCGAGCGGCGCTGGACCTCCTGCGGCGACTGCTCTTGCCAAAATCCTCCTCCTGATTCGAGTCATTTCTGATGGAAATGCTGGGCTCAGGTGCGAAGAGCTCAGAGGGTTCACCAACAGGCTAACAAATATCTCCGGGCCATTATTTTTGGGGGGAATTGCCATCTTGACATGTTGGTTGCTTCTAACCTCATCAGAGTTGTTGCTCGTCTTTTGCAAAGACGGTGTGTCCGATGGGCAGATCGATCCACTGGCGGCAGTCCAGTGGCCACTCTGCACAAATGGTTCAGTTTGCATGGGTTTTCGGCCGCACGGCCTTGGACCTGGATTTCTGACCATGTATCTTTTAAGGTCGATCTTCAAAGAATGCCGATTAAGAATGCTCAGCATGCTGCTCGCCAAGGGTGGCGTTGGCACCTTTGGCAGAAATTCCTGAATTGTGGTCGCCATGAGTGCGACGAAGTGCGCCCGCTTTCTCTTCAGCAGTTTGTTGATATTGACTTTAAGAAAGTGAGACAGTCCGCGATTGATCACACTTTTCGTGCTGTGTGCACGGGAGCGATGCTTTCCCCAGCTGCTATGCAGCACAGAGATGAGGTCCCTATTAACTGTCCGTGGTGCGAGAATCTTGGACACTGGAATCACGTGGTGTGGTTGTGTGACAACCGCCCGGTTAAACTTCCCTTCCCTGATTCTCCTGTTAAAGCCAGGTTTGGATGGGGAGCCTCACCTGAACAGGTGAACTGGATCACTCAGGCTGCTGCTGCTATTTGGAACACCCGTCATGCTGCTGCTGCGGCAAACTCTGCGGCTGGCTCTGCGGCTGGCGCTGCAGCCGAGGCTGCTGAATAGCCTTCACCTTGGCGCATGAGCGCCTTTCATGCAGCGGTCGTGAGTCTCCGGCGCGGCTTCTGTTCAAAGACCTTCTTCTGATTCGAGTCATTTCGGCAATTTTTTTGAAGGCTGGTGCACCTGTCTGGCCCGGTAAAAGTGAGGCTTAGCTTTGGTAGGTTTGGTGAGTCAAATTTGTTTGAAGCTTAAAACGCGTTTAAACCCGGATTAACGAATGGAACGGTTAAAACATCCTAATGTGGCGCAATCCTTTGCTGGCTGAGACCTGTCTGGTAATAGACTATAGCTTGGCGAGTAACACGTTGTAATATGTATGTATATATATATATATGTGTGTGTAACATTCCCCAGTTGTATCCAGTTGTTCAGGGGGGCTGTAGTTTTGCCATTCTTTGCTTCGTCAGCATTTGTCAAGTGGCTCACAATGTGTAACTTCAAAGTTTTGGGGTATAGCGAGCAACAACATGTTGAATCAACAGCCTGCGATTGCTTCTGGAAACGTTGCAAAGTTGTTGTCCCCGGAAATGCTGCACCAGATTGCCATAGCGACCACATCATGATGTCACTGTCCCCGGAAGATGTTTCAGCCAGATTTGGAGGAAAGCAGATGTTGATTGCACATGATTGCACTATCAATGGTTCTTTTCTTAGTTATCCACATTGACACATGCATATCATACCAGGCATACTGTTTCTGCTGCATCCACAGTTTTGCCCCACTTGTTAAATATGATTACAGTCCTATGTGGGTGTCTCTGAAAATTGATAATGGAGGGCTAATTATTTTAGGATTTTTTTTTGATCAGGTTTAGGAATTATTTTTGGATTCCTGCTTCTCTGCTTTTCCTGCTTTTCCTGCTTCTCTGCTTTCCTGCTTTTCCTGCTTTTCCTGCTTCTCTGCTTTTCTGCTTTTTTGCTTTTCTGCTTCTCCTGCTTCTCTGCTTTTCTGCTTTTTTGCTTTTCTGCTTCTCCTGCTTCTCTGCTTCTCTGCTTTTCTGCTTTTTTGCTTTTCTGTTTTGCCTGTTTCTTTGCTTCTCTGCTTTTCCTGCTTTTCCTGCTTCTCTGCTTTTCTGCTTTTCCTGCTTCTTTGCCTTTCTGCTGTTTTGCTTTTGTGCGTTTCCTGTTTCTTTGCTTCTCTGCTTTTTTGCTTCTCTGCTTTTTTTTTGCTTTGCCTGCTTTAAATACTTGATTTTCATGTAAGATGCATTTTGCACAGTATTTACATCCCTGAGTATCACATGACCAACCTTCTCTTGAAAACTAGCAACGTAACATGTGAGAAGAGGTGCTTGCATTCTGCTTTGGGGGAGGCGCTGCGCCCTCCCCCCAATCCCCCCCTCCCGCTTTTTTTTATTTAAACTTAAACCCAAGTTACATTAGTTGGTTTTTGCGAACTAACCTTCTCTGGAAAGCTGACAGGATTACATGTGATAGATAGATAGATAGATAGATAGATAGATAGATAGATAGATAGATAGATAGATAATAGATAGCCGATAGATAGCTTGGTAGATAGATAGCTAGATAGATAGATAGCCAGCTAGATAGATAGATAGCTAGAGAGATAGATAGCTAGATACCTCGATAGATAGATGGCTAGATAGATAGCTAGATAGATAGATGGCTAGATAGATAGCTAGATAGATAGATAGCTAGCTAGATAGATAAAGAGGTAGCTAGATAGATAGATAGATAGATAGATAGCTAAATAGATAGGTAGATAGTTAGCTAGATAGATAGATAGCTAGATAGATAGCTAGATAGCTGGATAGACAGCTGGATGGCTAGATAGATAGATAGCTAGATAGATACAAAGCTAGATAGCTAGATAGCTATATAGATAGTTAGCTAGATAGCTCGATAGCTAGATAGCTGGATAGACAGCTGGATGGCTAGATAGATAGATAGCTAGATAGATAGAAAGCTAGATAGCTAGATAGCTAGATAGATAGTTAGCTAGATAGCTAGGTAGGTAGATAGATAGCTAGCAAGATAGCTAGCTAGATAGGTAGATAGATAGCTAGATAGATAGATAGCTTGCTAGATAGATAGCTAGCTAGATAGCTAGATAGCTAGCGCCCTCCCTCAATCCCCCCCACCCGCTTTTTATCTAATCCCAAGCTTCCGCATCTGTAAATATTTGGGTGAACATGCTCACATGTAGAACATCCCATGCAAAATGGAAGGTGAACATGCCAAAATGTGGCAAATACCATACAAATTGGACGGTGAACATGCCCACATGTAGGAAATCCCATGCAAAATGGAAGGTGAACATGCCAAAATGTGGCAAATACCATACAAAATGGAAGGTGAACATGCCCACATGTAGTAAATCCCATGCAAAATGGAAGGTGAACATGCCCAAATGTGGCAAATACCATGCAAAATGACAAATTCAAGTTCCAAACCGTTGCAAACACTAGGCAAATGGTACCAGCCAAGAAATCCAAAAAAAAATCCCAAACCTGCTCAAAAAAAAATCCTAAAACTATTTCACACCCATTGATAATTGGCATTTTGATTGGGGACATGTTGGTAAAGCAATGGAATCGGGGGCACCCTACAATTGATGGTTGCGAAATCCTGCACCAGTTGATGGCGTATCCCATTATTTATAGGGTTTCAATCATCCCTTTGGTGGTGCAGGATTTCTTTCATCCTCTGGTAAACATACAAAAAAACATTGAACATGGCCATTGAATTCATTGATTTACCCATCAAAAATGCGTGATTTTCCATAGTAAACTGTAAACGTTTACCAGAGGGGAATCCCATCGCATATCATCGCATCACGCAGGACACCTTAGATGAAGCCCACAACGATGCCCAGCAGATGGTCTTGGATCGGCTGAAGAAGAAGGTGACGCTTAAGATGGGGCACGAAAAGTTAAGATTTTAAGTCACCTTATTTTAAGCGCCAATGAAATGAGGAGGTACAGGTAAAGGGAACAAACCTGGTTTATGACGAAATCATGGGATATATAGATGGATATAGCAAGATATTACGATATATATATATATATATTTAATACACATTATATTACAAGGGTTTTGGTTATTGAGATATATAGCCAACAATCTATGGTAGGTAGGTGGGTGCATTTGAACATTATAAATTTACTGGAACCATTTGGAACAATCCAATGGCCAGTTTAGTAGGGACAATGATGTTATCAACCAGCGGATTCTGGTACACACGCATTTGTCAGACAAGGCCAAGTGTAAACCGTAAACCTAATGATAAACATACCATTTGGGGTTGGTTTATACGACACGATTCATTGTAAAATTGGAGATGGCTTACTATTCCGTTCTGTTGAATCCACATACTTGTATCATAGTTTCCACATTGTGTCGGACCTTGTTCAGATCGAAAACGTAAATCATCAATATTTCAGTAGGATTTTGCCGACTACCTTTTTTATCCTTTTTTGGGGATGACTATATCCCCCCCATTGTTATCTTGGGCCTCGCTGAGCGCGGGGGGTTGTTTTGAGAGGCGGACTACGTCCAACGCTTGGAGGGACTCTTCCGTGTGGAGCTCACAGGGGTTGGCTGCTTTTTTTTTGTGGAAAATCATCCATCAATGGGGACTAATTAATCAAGACTAATGAGTGACTAATATAGTGATGAATAGTGATGAATTGATCATTTAGCATAAATAACTGACAAATATAGTGAGTAATTGTGATTAGCCAAATCCATCTATCTATATATTATATATGATGTATAGATTTATTGGAACCCCAATCACAGTGGAATTGGATGGGAATGGATCTAAGGACTCTCAAGGTTTTCTCCCTATAGGGCAAGTACATAAACGTTAGAATTGATCATTATGTAGGTCATTCTAACCATGAACATCAGTGATTGCTGTTTTTCCAAGGCGGTGTTGCTTTGCGAAACAGTTATGGAGTGCCACCAGGTTGTGAATATTTGAAACCCATATTACAGGAGCCGATGGTGCGAGGTACAGTTATGGAAAATTATAAGGTCAAAGAATTGATAAACAAGACGCCCATTTTTTGCAGCCGAGCAACGCACCGGGTACTGTTGGTAAAGCAATAATAAACCACCCATGTTGTTGATGGTTTTTACCATCAAGTGATGATGATTTTCCTATTGCTTTACTGACACTATACCGACTATACCGGATAAAGTAGTAGGGGTACAACATTGCCATTGGAATCAAGGACTTGTGCCTGAGATGTGTAAATAGGGGTGCTCTTGCCTTGATGTTAAATCCTTTTTCTGGGGGGATGAACCAACAACCAGACCATTTCTGATTGTGACTGACTACCAGACTATCACTTGTACATGGACAATGCAGACACGGGCAGCATTGCCCATGACATGACATGATTGGGGCCTTAGTTTCTTGCGAGAGGCGGTTCAAGAAGGCCCAGCCAGAGTTAGCCTCAGTTGGTCACAACCGGAGACGAGAATAGGACGTGTTATGGGAAATGGATGAGAAGGATTGAGAATGGCCATAACAATTTCAAGCCGGAATCTTTGCAGGACCTAGCCAGGGTGCAAGGTTTATCAAATAATGCCACTTGGGGTCCGTGGTGTGTGATAAATTAATTAATTTGTAAGATGAAATCAACACAGTCTTGGCTGGGTTGTTTGCCTGGGATTGTCCAAAAACATGGGGCATACCCCCAAGCAGTTTTTGAATGAGGAAAAAGTGATAGATAGCCGTTCAACCACGTCAAAGTGCCTTCTACCTTGCGCACAAAAGGAACAAGCACTTGAGGCCACGAACCATGCAAGCGTTGCTGCATTTGACCAAGTGGATTTTGGCATATTTTGGCGGAAATTCCATAGTTTACCTGGATATGGGTCAAAACTTATCAGTGATCAGCAGCAAAAACGGCGTTTCCCATTTAAAATTTATGGCCCATTTGCAACCCACCTGCTTACCACAAAGTGCGCAGGGTTCTCGCTGCTGTTCTGGCGCCATGGCTGCCCCCGCAGCATTCTGTGCTCTTTGATTTGGGCTGGCAGTTTCGAATGCGGCTGTTTGCAAAGCGGTGCGCGCTCCCGGCTAAGGCGTTGGTTTTCAAATAGCTATCCGTGCCAAAATCGCCCAAGAACAGTCTCCCGTAGAACCCCTGAACAAGCTCCTGTGCCCTAGGAACCATCGATGAATCGGGGCAAGGCATGATTACCGAGACACGGCTTCAAGAGACACCTGGCGAGAAACCAATTCTGGAAGATGCTGGAAGGGATGGGAGTGCTACAGACCTGATGCGTCCGCTTCCACAAACACCATGCTCAAATATTCCTTGGACCCACGGCAACTGCAAGTCACAGGGGCGTTAACTCAACCTACGGCTTCAGATCTGGATCCGTATTTTTGATTTATGTTTTCAGGGGTAAGTTCCTATCATAACTTTCAAGTTTAGAAAATGGGTGCCGTGAGTTTGTCAACGGTGTACTTCGCTGAAAAACTTTCATGATTCATATTCAATGCCGTGCCGAGGATGCTCGACAATCCAAAGGTGAAGGCTGTGCGGAAGCATGTCCAACTGGGGCCAGCTCCAATTTTCCTGATGAAACCCACTTGGAGCACAAAAGTTTGCCAGTCATAGCCCACCTATAGGCTTTGAAACCTGTGTGACAGAGACAAAAGAATTTGAAATGCCAAGCTGTTCCGGAAGCTGATCGCATGCACTTCTGCCCCGGGATCAGCCTGGCTGGGCATTCCATGTAGGAATTTTGACACCTGACTCTTATGACACAGACCGTGTAATCATTCAATATGTGAGTTTGCTTCGTACACCTGGGAGCTTGGTATCCTTGGCAGGCCTATTTGCAGACTTTGGAAATCGACGTGCACGAGGGCCATGCGCCTTGGTGCTGTAATGGATTGACGTTTCTAGGCCAGGTCGGTTTCAAATAATTAGGTTCCCACTAAGTTTCGACAAAGCATATACCTACGAGAATCCAATCAATTCCTCCTCACCACTTAGTGGTTTTTTTTTCCCATTACGTTGTATTTAGTATTTGGGTGCAACGAAGCTCCCCCTTAATTTCATATTAATTGTAAACCGTAATTCGGTGCAAGACATAAGTTATGTCAGCATCGGTTCATGATCAAATCATTGCATGTCGATGTTTTCCTCAATATCGAATTTAAAACATTTTTTCCACAAGCAACTAAACCGTTCCTTTATAAAATAAACTAATTTCCTATTTGTCTGAAACCAAATTAAAAATATCGCCAAAAGTTGGAATCCTAAGTTTTCCCCTAATTTTAACTTTAAAACCTCAATGCCCAAAAAACAAATCAAAAAACAGTTCAGAATCTAATTAAGATGTTGCCAAAAAAATCGGATTTTGAAACGTTCCCCTAATACTACATTCAGAACCATTCAAAAATAAAGGACGGACCTTGATTAAAAAAACAGCCCGGTGGTGCCTAGTTTTAGTTATATGATATATTACTTAGTGGTCGTGTCAATTCACCCTTATCCGTTAAACTTCGCCCCCGCAGATGGGCACACCCGATTAGGAAAAAGTCACCCCCCATTTGCATGAAATCTGCATGGGCACACAATGTACGCAGACATTCCATGATTAACATGGTTTGTAACATTTCATTGGGCATACGCAGGTGCAATGCACATTGACTTTCATTTCCTTTCCTTGGGGGAATGTAAGATCTTATTGCAAGTCGGGTCAAAAGTGTTTCCATGAATGACCCAGAATGCGGATGCAATGCGATCAATGCAGGTTTGCGCGCCATCGATAGATGATTGCTTGATTTTCTTTATAGGGGAAAAAAATAAGCTGCTTAGTTGAGAAACACCATGGATCCCCACAGTGCCCTGCGCCAGTCCCGCGCGACTTTGCGCGAGGTTTGTCTGACCCCCCACCTAACAACGAACGGTTTTCCTTCCTTCCCTTTGCTTTGCTTTGCTTTCCTTTCTCCCCTTCCTTTCCTCGGCCAAACAAGCCAAACAGCATGAGAATCCCCATGTTAGCCATGCAAACTTCCAATAGTGCATGCCACACATCTAAAGGAAAACCTTGCGCACACCACGAAAAAAGACAAGGTGCCTAAGATTTCATGCTGTGACCAAAGCATTTCAGAATGCAGACCCGCAAGTGGCACACCACAAAGCGACAACTTTTCCCGAGGAGGGCTTTAACCCAGGTGCCCAGTAGGGTGGCGAAACCTTCAAATGGGATCTTCATTCTTAAATTGTTTTTGCATGCGGGTGGGCGCTCGCTCGAAGGGTGCGTTTTGGTTTTGATGCAAGCTAGATGGAAGAACCGCCATTCTAGTCATGCATGACCCTTGCCTCCGTAAGGCGCTATTCCATCTGCTTGACAATGGTGACGGAGAGGCAGCATTTTTTGTGCAGCTGTGTTTTGCGGGAGATTGTGGGGCATGCATGTGCCTTCCTCTTGCTTGATCCGCCTCATCGCAGTTGAGTTGAATGCCAACAGTGTAGCCGAATGCAATATCAAAAACAATTTACACACATATCATATATATATATATATATATTAGTATATGTATGTAATGAAATGGAATGAAATGTTATGTTATGTTATGTTTTGTTTTGTGATGTTAATGTATGTGATGTTATGTTATGTTATAATATTTTATGTTATGTTATGTAAATGGAATGGTATGGAATGGAATGGAATGCCCTATTATGTATGTCATGTCATGTTATGTTATGTTATGATATGGTATGTTATGTTATGTTAATGGAGTGGGATGAAATGGAATGGAATGGAATGGACTGTAATGTAATCTAATCCAATCTAACGTAATGTAATAATGTAATATACGTAGGTAGATTCGCACGTGCGTATGTATATATGTAAAATCTGAAACAATCTGAACGTGCATTCAATATTTTTTAGTTCACGTATATATATATATATATATATCTACATATATTATATTCTGAATTGTATATATCCAAATTGACCTGGCACACCCATATGACGGGAACTGCAGGTGACTTTGGAAGAATTTACTGGCGGACTTATGCGGTGCAAAGGACGTGGTGGGGCAACAGCACAGCTCGTAGCTGGCCCGGTATTCCCGATTCAAATAGGACACTAAAATGATACTCGAACATGCGAAACCATGGTTGAAAAAAGGTAGAGAGAGAGAGAGAGAGACAGAGGGGGGAGAGCTGAGAGAGAGCTAAGAAAGAGCTGAGAGAGAGCTGGGAGAGCTAAGAAAGAGCTGAGAGAGAGCTAAGAAAGAGCTGAGAGAGAGCTGGGAGAGACCTGAGAGAGAGAGCTGAGAGAGAGCTGAGAGAGAGAGCTGAGAGAGAGAGCTGAGAGAGAGCTGTGAGAGAGCTGTGAGAGAGATAGACAGAGAGAGATAGACAGCGAGAGATAGACAGAGAGAGAAAGAGCGACAAAGAGAGACAAAGAGAGAGAGAGAGACAGAGATAGAGACAGAGCGGCCAACCGACGAAAGGAACGACGGAGGAACAGATGGAGGGAGAGAGAGAGAGAAAGAGAGAGAGAGAGAGAGCTGAGAGAGAGCTGAGAGGAGCTGAGAGAGAGCTGAGAGAGAGTTGAGAGAGAGCTGAGAGAGATCTGAGAGAGAGCTGAGAGAGAGTTGAGAGAGAGCTGAGAGAGAGCTGAGAGAGAGCTGAGAGAGAGCTGAGAGAGAGAGCTGAGAGAAAGCTGTGAGAGAGCTGTGAGAGAGAGAGAGAGAGAGACAGAGCGGCCAACCGACGGAAGGAAGGACGGAGGAACAGACGGAGAGACAGAGAGAGAGAGGGAGAGAGAGAGACAGAGAGAGAGACAGAGACAGAGACAGAGAAAAGCAGAGAAAGAGAGAGAGGGAGAGAGAGACAGAGACAGACAGAGACAGACAGAGACAGACAGAGACAGACAGAGACAGACAGAGAGACACCGAGACAGAGAAAGACAGAGAAAGACAGAGAAAACCATAGAAAACCATAGAAAACCATAGAGAGGCAGAGGCGGAGACAGAGAGAGAGAGAGAGACAGAGAAAGACAGAGAGAGAGAGAGAGACAGAAACTGAGAAAGACAGAGAGACAGAGAGCGACAGGGATTGGAGATTGAAGAAGTATCAGGCCACTTTTGGTTGCTATACTTGCATTTTTTGGGCGCAAACATCAGATTGATCTGTGGGATTTTCCTTTTCAAGCACCATCAGCTGAGGGTAAGTGCACCAAGTTCTGTTCATGCCAAAATTTTTGGTCGCATCATAGTCTTCAGTTGCAGGACCCGCCCGTGCCATCGATGCAGTGGCTTTGCATTCCGATCTGCGACAGTTGGATGCCCACGTCCCCAGTGTCAAGAAACCAGTGGCCGATTTTTCCGGACAGTTGTGAAACAAACAGTCTGGCAAATGCAAAGTTGCTGACGTTGCTGAACCCAACCTTGATTCCCAGGAAACCCATTTTTGTAGCCGGGTGGTCGCTTTCCGTCTCGACATGCGCGTGTCGATTTTTTTGTGAACCAAAAAACCCTTGCATGAACTGGCATACGCACAAAAAGCCGGGTTGCAGTCTTTTAAAACGTGACCTTCCTCTTCTTTCGGTTGAAACCAGCAGAATGACTAAACAATCGAAAGAACATGAAAGAACATGTTTGCTGGGTTTTTTTGAATGCCGCAGAATGCCAACGAATCACCAGTATCATCCATAATTATCATCCATAATTATCATCCATTCTCATCAAGTATCATATCATCTATTATTTTCCATTATTATCCATTATTTGCTATACGTCAATAACGACACGACTTTGTTTACGCCGGTCACGGGGACTTTTTGTAGCGTTGTGCTTTGTACTGCCACGATTGTTTATTTATGTGTCATGTGAAAGCAGGGTAGGGGAATGAAATATGCAGGTGCAGGCAGCCGTGGCGACACATTAAGACCTTCAAATCACTCGCGAATACATTGTCTTCGGCACCTCTTTGGGGTGTATCATGCTTGCAAGTCTTGCTTTTGGTTGATTTTCCGTTGCCCATCAAGCGTACTTGCGCTGACTTCCTTGGCATTGCGCGATTCATAAATTGTCAGGCGGCGATTTTATATTTTGTAAGTGCTTTGGATTGGATGGAATTTGGTAGTTCGCGTGCCAAAATTGTGTTTGTCACAGGCAACAAAACTTTTGCGAGATGTTCAAATTTCAAATTTCACCGGACGGTTCCTACAACATTTAGAAACCATCGCAGAACGAACTATCGTTCACGAAGAAATAATATGCGCAGCACGCCGAGAATGACCGCACTGCCTGACGTTGTTGACAACAATGAAGGCGGCCAATGAACATGTTGTTTAATCATTGTCTTGTATCCGCCCATTCGTTTTCAATGGTCGTTCAGTCATCGTCAGCACATCACACCGTCTTCTCCAATTTGATTGTTCGTTTGTTACTTCAGCTTGGGGGCATAAAAGGTGTGGTTTCAATTAAATTGTGCTAAGGGTTCGGGAGGAACTGCATGACAATCGTTTGGGGGTCGACGTTGTGCCTGGTTTCACTAGAAAGGCTCGCTCTTGAAGCGTTTTTTTTGGAACCAGTATGCCCACCTAAACAATCCCAAACGCATATCGCAACAAGCAACATTTGCTTTAAAGGATTTTTAAAATTTTATCCTGTTTGGCAAATCATCAAAGCCAGGTCAACAAAAAACAGCTACTTGATGCTTAATTTTGCTCAAGAAAACGATAAGTGCGGTGGGCCTTTGAGTATCCTTGTTTTTATCCATCCCCCAAAAACATGTTCCAGACGCGTGGCATGTACACTGCAAGTCCCCACCGAAGTGTCGTACTCAAGGCGAAGGTGAGCAAAGTGATTCACCACCTGAAGGAAGCCCGCCTCATCAGGAGCTTCGAGAAACTGAAGAGAGGATGGAGATGTAACCATACACTCATATGCAGTGTTTGTGTTTTTTGTTTTTGAGTAGGGGACCAACAAACCACCAAAAAATGATGGATGTGTGTGTGTGTTTTTTTTTAATATGTGCTGTTGGCAAAGAAGGGAGGGTTTGCATTTGCAGACCCTGCATCGCCTGGATTTGCTGAAGATGATGGGTGATCTTCGAATTGATAAACCCACAATCTGGTGAATTTTCATGAATCTTCTCAGTATATACTCATCGTGTCCCCCTGGGTGCCATATGTTGCAAATCCAAGTATAAGTTGAGATATAATCCCAGAGAACCTGAGCTACCTGAGAGTCAAAATGGCAATGGGCAATGGGCAATCCCCTACTTATAGATGATTTTCATTTCCTGATTTTCCTGATATATTTTTCTCATTAGGACCGAAACCAGTTTTTTTCACTGGCCATTCCAGGATCCTAAATAGGAGGTACCTACCATATATTATATATCAGGCCTTAAGGATCCTGAAATTCCCATTGGTTTTACAAATGGTTTTCCAATGTTTCTCACAACCATCAATGGAGATTTTCCAGCCATGTTGGATGACAACGGTCGCGATTTTTTTTTGAATGGCATGGGCACCCAGCAGCCAAGCGTGCCAGGAGCAAGTCCAAGTCGGAGAAACTGGTTGCCAGGACATACTAAAACCCAAGGTTGTTTCATCGGATATTGCAGGGTTTTGGAGTTTTCGTGGGAGATTTTATGTTTTTGGGAGGAACATGGAGGCATGGAGGAACCATCTAACTAGTAACCAATCAGGATTTATACATGTGCAAGCCTGGAACATCCATCAATCTTCTGCGTCGCAAGCTGGATATATTGATGCCAAAAATTCCAAGCATCAATCGGATATTGCGGTGGCCCAGACCCAAGGAAGTAGCAGCATGATCCCAAGCGGCAAAAACGCGACTACCGGCAACCACTGGTTAAAACCAAAGAAACCAATGAAAAGCGCAGAAAAACACAACGTTTTGCATGTCCTTTTAGATTACAAACGTTAAAAAAATGAAGCTTTGTCTGTGGAAAAACCGCACTGCTGTTCTTAGAGGAAGCCGCGAACCCATCTATTGGACAAATATATATATATATATATGTATGTATATATTATATATATATACATATATCTGCAACAAATGCAAGAAAAAACAAATATAGATGTTGTGATTTCATGATTGCCATTTTGATGAGTTCTTGCCACGCGTCCCATTCTTGGATTTAGTGAAACGTGTTGGAAATTTCTTGCAATTGGTTGCTTTCCGTGCTTGGCAGATTGACACTTCGCTTCGAATAAAATTTACATTCGGTTGTTGGTTCATATCTTAACATATCTTGGCTATTCCCAAAAAGAGAGCATCTGTGGGCGTTCATATGTTCATTTCTCCTCAATCTTTCCGCTCTCTTCCCATGTAATGTACTAGCATGCTTTCCAAGTTTTCCCCTCATGTTTGGTTTGAACATCGTCTTCCACACGTTGTTCCTATGGTTCACCGGCAGCTTCCCACATTTCAATCACCACGTTTCAAATCCCAGGGTCTTGTGACAGGAGCCAGGCGGAACACATGAAGGTCTTCCGTTTGGATCCCGCAGAAGAGTTGAAGTTTCAACAACAGGTGGCCCTGGGCCTGTGGAATTCTGGCGGAACCGCGGCTATTGGACGGTCCTCGGTCTTGGCAGCTCTGTCCGTTTAGGAGGGAGCGGTTCTCAGTTCTGAAAGAGATTCCTGTCCTCTATTTTCATTATTTTCATCTATTTACCTATCTTCCCTTCCTTTTTCATGGGGGGCCAAGGAGGATTTAGAGTTTCCCAACCACATAGTAGTGTAGAATATTGTAAAGAATCACCCAGCTTGATAGTCTAGCATTCGGATGATTCGTGAATTAAATGGAATACCCACTATCCAGTTCTGTATGTGATATGTGCAGTGAAAGTTTGTTCCCGCTTCTAAGTGGGACACGTGCCCAAACACGGTGGTTTCAACCAAGATTTTATGAACCATACCTATTGCAAAAAAAACAGTTTAGCACGCGGCTTGCCACAACGGCATGGACAAAACGTGGGTTGGAAGATTGGTTTCCTGTTGAACACGGCACTTTTTGGTAACATGTTATTTTTCATACATGTAATCAAGTAGGGAGGTTGGAACCACCATCTAGCACTGTGGTATTCCATCAGCTCAGCACCCAATGGCCTACCAGTTTGAAATTGCAATGCCTTAACCATAGTAGTTAAATATCAAAAAGCTTTTGCAGTTTTGGGTGATTTTGCGGGGCTGCTTGCGCAGATCTCATCCCGCTTTCAGACAAATAGAATGATTCCGTTTGTGAGATACCAGCAAATGAGATACCGTACCACCAAATGAGATACCGGCAAAAAGGTCTAAATGGGAAATATGTCTTGGAATGGAATGTAGGTGAAAACTTTATTAAACCTGCAAAAACGAAGACTGCCCTATCTAACGAAGGTTAACCGGTTAACCTTACAACTATGGTTCCTTGATAGATTTCAATTGAGCAGCGAACGCCCAGAATGATCATGGAGCTATTATTGTTTGGTCCTTACATGTGTTCCCTTGTCTTCCTTGGTTTCCTTCCTTCTTGCTTTTATACCTTTCCTGCGCCGGTTTCTGTCAGCTTCCTTTCCGCCTTCGTTTCTTTCTGTTGATCTCGATTTTTGTTTCCTCCCGTTGCATATATTGTCAAGCATCTGCTTTTCCTCGTGTCGTGTTCTTTCCGGCTGCAAATTCTTCTCCATCCTTTTTGCATTTTTCATTGGCGCTTTCGTTTTCCCTTCTGGTCGTTCTGGAACGAAGCCAAAACGAAAGCAAGAAACGGGCAAAATTCACGACAAGCTTGCTGCAGGCATGTGTTTTGTCAGCACCAGCAAAGCACCAGCACCACCACCAGGACGACGATGACTAGTGCTAGCGCCACTTGCCAATCTACACCCCTCTATTTGTGTATGGGCACTGGGTACGGCTTATTCATGAAATATTTCACATATGTATAACTTGCAAAAAAACACCAAAGCGACATTACTCTTGCAGTTTTGGCGACCTCCAAAAATCTGATTCCCCTATTTGTTCTTCGTTGCATACAAAGGGCCGCCTTCGTTTTACAGGGGTTTGGGGCAGACCTTCACAAATATATGTGCGGTACCATGCGGTCATCATTTTTCCAAATTAGCAACAGCGGCAGCCATGGCAGTAATGGTACAAAACAATGCCGGGAGCCGGGATTCGTATTGCAACCGGTAAAAGCAACAAAATTGGAGAAGAAGCAACAGTGGCAGTGCAAGCAAAAGGAGCAGCATCAGTAGCAGTAGCAGCAGCAGTGACAGCAATACCAGCTACCGTAGCAGCCCCAGCAGCATCAGCAGCACCAGCAGCAGCGTCAGCAGCACCATTAACAGCAGCAGAAGCAGTGGCAGTGGTAAAAGCAATGGCACAAGCAGTGGTAGTGACATCTTGCTTGTGGTTTCAATATCTATTTTTGAATGACTGGACTTAAGGAAACATTTGCATGAAATCATCGTTCTTACCAATATGGAGGTGTCCAGTAGCAGGAGTACCGCAGAAGGTGGTGGCGGAAGTTTCCAGGATAGGACACTTACGAGAGGTGAGTTGTTGTGATGCATGGAACCCACTGATGGACCGAAAGGTGGTTGGAGTTGTTATTTTTGGAGTGTTTGCAATGGTTGCAGTGGTCACCTCACACGTGGTATTTGCATTTCTTTGCAACATCATTTTGTAGACAGAAGATCTCATTTCCTAGACATTAGAGAGAGAGATATATATATATATACATAAACCAACATTTTCTAGATATGCTATTTGTCTCCTATTGTTTGGCATTTTTTGGAGATAAATTCTGAACATAATCCCACAGATTTTCTAGGCATGTTTTCTGTCTCCTCATTTTCGTGGCATTTACTGGACAAAAAATGACAAAATACTCTACTTCGTGTGATCCCCACCATGACATGTCAGGACGTATATTTGGACATATATTTAATATATTCTGACATCCTATCTGGCATATATTCTGGCATATATTCTGGCATTCTATCTGGCATATATCCTGACGTTCCACCTGGCATTCTATCTGGCAGTCTATCTGGCATTCTATCTGACATATTTTCTGACATTTCATCTGACATATATTCTGGCATTCTACCTGTCATTTATTCTGACATATATTCTGGCATTCTATCTGACATATATTCTGGCATATATTCTGGCATTCTATCTGGCATTATATCTGACATATATTTTGGCATTCTATCTGACATATATTCTGGCATATATGTTGGCATTCTATCTGGCATTATATCTGACATTCTATCTGACATTCTATCTGGCAGTCTATCTGGCATTCTATCTGGCATGGCATTCTTTCTGGCATTCTATCTGGCATTCTATCTGGCATCCTATCTGACATTCTGGCATCTGGCATTCTGGCATTCTGGCATTCTGGCATTCTATCTGGCATCCTATCTGACATTCTATCTGGCATTCTATCTGGCATTCTGACATTCTATCTGGCATTCTATCTGGCATTCTATCTGGCATCCTATCTGACATTCTATCTGGCATTCTATCTGGCAGTCTATCTGACATTCCTACATGAGGTCCGGCAGGGAACACTTGGCGTGGATACTCGCAGTTGAGGTCTGGCAGGGAACACTGGGCGTGGATGGTCGTGGTTGAGGTCCGGCATGGATGGTCGTGGTTGAGGTCCGGCAGGGAACACTGGGCGTGGCTGGTCGTGGTTGAGGTCCGGCAGGGAACACTGGGCGTGGATGGTCGTGGTTGAGGTCCGGCAGAGAACACTGTGGATCGCTTGTCGCAGTTGAGCAAGGACGACGAGGACGACGAGGAGGAGGAGGAGAGGAGGACGAGGCAGGAGGAGGCGGAGGAGGAGGAGAAGGAGGAGGAGAAGGAGGAGGAGAAGGAGGAGAAGGAGGAGGAGGAGGCAACTGACATAAAATCTAACAACCCTCACCTGGCAGGTGGGGAACAAATGTTCGGGTTGTTTCTTTAAATATGTCATTTTCTAGATTTTTTGATCCATAAAAAACAAAAAAGTTCGATATTTTTGCTTTATAGAAAATGTGTCCGATAGTGGCTCCGAGTACCCCACTCTTCAAAAAATGGCTGAGGCATTTTCTAGAAGATTCTAAGGCATTTTCTAGATGGTTTTAGCGAACCGGTAGTTTTCTATAGAGAATGAGGCTGCTCAGGCTCCCCCTCTTATTCGGACGAAGATTGTTTTGTTCATTTTGACTTGGACATGTGCTTCGCGCCACAACGGCATGCACTTTTTCATCATCTCAACTTCCAAAAAAGCACCGAGAATGGTGTGCTTTGCACGTTTTGACTTCGACATGTGCTTGGCGCCACAACGGCTTGCACTTTTTCATCATCTCAACTTCCCAAGGTGCTCCCAGAATTGTGCTTTGTACATTTTGACTTCGACAAGTGCTTCGTGCCACACCAGCGCGCACTTTTTCATCATCTCAACTTCCAAAAGTGCTCCGAGAATGGTGTGCTTTGCACGTTCTGACTTGGACATGTGCTTCGCCCCACAACGGCGTGCAATTTTCATCTCTCATTTGGCCAGATGGCTCCGCACCCGCCGCTTTCGCGAGCCTACTTTTCGACCCTCCGGAGCCACAAATCATTGGAAAACCCTTTTCGCGTACCTGCATCTTCTTTCCTCTGACTTTTTTCTCTTCTCTGATCTTCTCTTCTCTTCTCTTCTCTGCTCTTCTCTTCGCTTCTCTTCTCTTCTCTTCTCTGGCTCTTTCCACATCTGCTTTTCCATTAGTCCACAGTCCATATTGCCGGAAGTTTGACTTCTAAATTTCCCTCGGATATGCCCCCGTCATCCAACTTGTTTCCCCACATCTTTGTGTGCGGTTCTTGTTTTTGATTCTGTACCACCCCGCTCCTCCTCCTCCTCCTCCTCCTCCACTTTGTCACCCACCATCTTTCACACACCACTTTGTCACAAACCATCTTTCACACACCACTTTGTCACCCACCATCTTTCACACACCACTTTGTCACACAGCATCTTTCACACACCACTTTGTCACGATCCATCTTTCACACACCTCTTTGTCACTTTGTCACACACCATCTTTCACACACCACTTTGTCACCCGCCGTCTTTCACACACCACTTTGTCACCCATCATCTTTGACACCCACCATCTTTCACACCCACCATCTTTCACACACCACTTTGTCACACACCACTTTGTCTCACACCATTTTTCACCACACCATCCTTCACACACCACTTTGTCACACACCATCTTTCACACACATCTTTGTCACACACCATTTTTCACACCATCTTTCACACCATCTTTCACACACAACTTTGTCACGCACCACTTTGTCACACACCTACTTTGTCACACACCAGGCACTTGGTGACATCCATCTTCGTTTTGCGTGGCAGGCGTGGCACTTATGGCACTGGGCTGGCTCTGGTGGCGCGCTTAGTCGCCGGTGACGCCGCGGCACTTTGCGTGGCAGACGTGGTACATGGCGCCAACCTTCGTTTCACGTGGCAGGCGTGGCACATGGCGCCATCTACCGTCGTTTTGCGTGGCAGGCGCTTATGGCACTGGGCTGAATCTGGTGGCGCGCTTGGGGCGGGATTAGTCGCCGGTGACGCCGTGGCACTTTGCGTATAGGCGTAGCACTTATGGCACTGGGCTGGCTCTGGTGGCGCGCTTGGGGCATTAGTCGCCGGTGACGCCGCGGCACTTTGCGTGGCAGATGTGGCACATGGCGCCAACCTTCGTTTCACGTGGCAGGCGTGGCACTTGGCGACATCCACCTTCGTTTTGCGTGGCAGGTGTGGCACTTATGGCACTGGGCTGGCTCGCGCTGGACGCCATGGCACTTTGCGTGGCAGGCGTGGGCAGTTGTGGCACTTATGGCACTGGGCTGGCTCTGGTGGTGCGCTTGGACCCACCATCTTTGACACACCATCTTTGTAACACACCATCTTTCACACACCATCTTTCCCACACCATCTTTTACACCCAACTTTGTCACACACCATCTTTGACACCCACCATCTTTCACACACCACTTTGTCACACACCACTGTGTCTCACACCATCTTTCACCACACCATCCTTCACACACCACTTTGTCACACACCATCTCTCACCGCACCATCTTTCACACACCATCTTTCACCACACCAGCTTTCACACACAACGTCGTCACACACCAGCTTTGACACACTTTCTTTCACACGCCACTATGTCACACACCATCTTTCACACACCACTTTGTCACCCACCGTCTTTCACACACCACTTTGTCACAAACCATCTTTCACACACCACTTTGTCACACACCATCTTTCACACACCACTTTGTCACCCATCATCTTTCACACATAACTTTGTCACACACCATCTTTCACCACACCATCTTTCACACACACACAGCTTTGTCACACACCATCTTTCGCCACACCATCTTTCACACACCACTTTGTCCAACACCATTTTTTACACACAACTTTGTCACGCGCTCCCTTTCACGCACAACTTTGTCACACACACACACACCATCTTTCTTTGTCACACACCATCTTTCACATACAACTTTGTCACACACAATTTTGTTTTTCTTCTCGATCCTCCACAGCCTCCTTTGTCTTTCCTTCTTTCCCCGTCCCCGCTACAAAATTTGGTGCTCATTATTGGAAGAAGTTGCCTTGTGGGGTCACCCGGTCGTTTAATGAACTTTTTTAAAACGACATGCGGGATCATATTTCCTAATGACCTTCCGATTTTGGGGACGGGATCCAGGCAGAAACTGTTGAAACCACTAATCACCGATCAGGTTACGGCTGCTTGGTGTTGCCGCAAGCAGTTTCTTCTCACCTTCACCTGTTTGTATCTTCATATGCGTCGCACTCCCATGCGCACACGTGCGCAAAAAATAGACGTATGCAGTATGCAGCATATGTGTTTGATGTGCGCATGAACATAGCATATGCTTCATATGTTACATGCGTTATAATTTGGGTACATTCGCATCATATTAAACAAGTCTATTCTCCCACTTAGGTTTAGATAGAATCCTATTAATTCGACTAATTAGTTCCGCAAGAATGATTTGAAATATCTTCCCAGAACCACACCACCATTCATTGCACAAGCGCGCGGCGCCAGACGGTAAATACCTCAATGTCTGAAACCTGAGGCGGCAGTCGGAAAGATTTTGATCCTGATAGCCAAATTTGTGGTATGTTCCAGGCATGGTAAAATATGGTAACTAAGCTAAGTGGGTGATAAGGATAGCACAACCCCACTTAAAAACGGGTATATATATATATACACATACTATGTTTCTGATATGTATTAAAAAAAACATTCATTTAAGGGTTGTAACCCAATTACTATCTGGGATGCGCATCCAGTCCAAGAGCATAACACAAAACCACCGCATATCAACGAACTTTCTCATCAAAAAGAAAGGTGGACGTGAGTATTTTGTTACATAAACATGTTTGAATCAACTATGATTTGGCTCCGGGTGAAATCTTGTCGATGTTTTCCGGCTGATGTTGAACTGGTTTCTGCGATCTGCAGCGAAGCTTGCTGCTTGAGTGTTGCCAACATAATTGCGTTGAAGAAATTGCCCTCTTTCCTGTGAGTGCGTTTTTTGATGGGCCATCACTGGGCGATTAAGTTGTAATCAAAGGCCTAAAAACCCAACGAAAAAAGTAAACAGTCCATCCTATGTGTTCATGTCATGGGAAAGTGCACCTACACATTGTTCATTTTTGGGGCAATTGCAAATAGGCCAATACATGAAGCTTATAGGCATTGTGTGTGTTGGGTATCCCATGATATATTTCCGTCACTTGTCAGTTCCAAGTATCTCTTGGACAATCAAGGCACAAAAGTAAATGCTCTGAAATTAACAACAAATCACAAAATTCCCTAGAAGATTTAAGATTTAATTTCTGCTTGTAAATTGCCATTTCGGGATTGATGGCAAATAATCTCTTATGAGAAAACCTGGGTGTGAAAGCAAACTTTTGGAGCCTCAAGTCCAACATTTAATGGTCCTTGCGAGCCGGACAATATTATTCTGTTTGGTGCTATGTATACTTGATTCTCAGCCCTGTATGATGATCCCGGTTGATTTTCAAATGTGTGGAGGTTGAAAGACACAACCAACCAGTTTTGGGACAAGTTGCAAAGACAGGAAGATTTGAGAAGATCCAACCACAGCCAGCTTTGAAATGCATTTAATATTCCTACTATTTGGTCAAAAATGCGGGTGCTCGCATGCCATTGTTTTCAATTGGCTGCTGGGAATGTCCCTGTCTGTAACAGGTGAACCAGTCGTAGGATGATTTACGCCAAGCATGATGGTTTGTTTACATGAATGATTGCCCCAAGGAAGGCTCAATTCCCCCATCCAAAGTAGGGAATCTCCACCACCATTTGGGCCATTTTCTGCGGGGTTGAACATCTTCCTTTCCCTCGCCGCCCTGCTCAAGTGCACCCCCGGCGGGCGCCAGTGCAGACGGTGAGTTTTACTGTGTGTTTTTTTTCAGCACGCACATTTGTATCTTTGATGATTTTTGAGCTCAGAAACCAATGTGGCAGGTTCAGTGGCAATTAATTAAACCCTATTAAACCAACATCCGAATTTTCTTAGTTTTTTTTTTCAGAGGGGCTTGCCACAGGCAATATCGACATCATCTCCCTGCAGGTCAAAGAACACTTTAAAACCACCGCTCGGCTGGGCCCGCGGGAATCCGGCGCCGAATCTCAGGTTCGCCTTTGGGCCTGGGTTGCGCATGTTGTAATGGGGGGAACCGATATCAAAGGACCCTTATGTGTATATGCATGATCATTTGGGAATTGACACCCATGGTTTTGGGGGGATCCCCGCATTTGAAGAACCCCCGTATATTTTTCATGATTTGTCCATTTGTTTTGCCAGGATAAGGGCATGGGTGCGCATAAGATTCCAACTGAAGCAATCAACCACAGTGATCCATCTCACTGGGAATTGTTCGAATTGTGAAGAAGGACCTAGGGGAGGCCTTTCCTAAGAATCTTACTGGAACCATGGTCACTTTGATGTTATCATGGCGAAGTCGCTAGGTTGGAATACCAGATGTTGCTTTGGAATGCCGCCAGCAAAAGCCGTTTCCCTTTTCACACCCATAATAAATGCAGTTGACAAATGTGAACGATAGGTACAGGATGGGGCCCCCAAGATAGCTAAGCCTTATAAGTGGCTTAGCTATGGTTTATGGTAGATATAACTATAGTTAATGGAGGTTATATTGGTTTATAAACCAACTTATAACTGGGGGGCCCCATCCTGCACATAGAATAAGACTTGCTTGTGCGTAGTGGATGATTGATCCATTGGAAAGAAGGACGCGCTAGTGTCACAGGTACAGTTGATGAGGTAGAGCAAATTGTTTTCGTGCATTCTCGGGGAAAAAAACAATGACGGAACAGTCCGACATTCTAAACGTTTCAGGACAGTAGATGGATATTTTGCCTTACCACCTCCGAAATCACGACGTTCTCGGAAAGAAACTATTCGCTTCAAGTAGATCCACCTGCTAGCCACAACGGGTCCTCGATCAGGACCACCTGGCTAAGCCAGTGGTGTCAGCGAAGAAGATGATTCCCTATGGCCAGATGGAGGTGGGGTTCATGGTTGGACATTTTTGTGGATGGCCATAGGTTTTTATGGTTGTTAAAGCTTATGTAAATTGGCGCTGTTGTTTTTTTTGCTGGCTGGTTGATGTTATATAATAATATAAATAATATACTTTGTTGATGGCTAGTTGATGTTGGCTTTATGGTTGGTGGACAAAAGAAGGATATAGGATGACAAAGGAGTGATATGAATCGAGGTCGGAGTTAGGGTGCGGAAAATACCAACTACCATCAGATTCCAGCATTTGCATGGCGAAATCAGGCAATCCAATTGCCACTTGATCAACATACATCCAAAGACGCCTCAAAAGACTCCTAAATATTATTGCGATTGCAACTTGCCGCCATGGATACTTAGAATTCATAGCTCATAAAATGTGAACTTGATCCTGGTTATACTTGTTATTTATAATAGCTTCTAATATATTTTAATTAACCATGAGCTGCCAGTTACAACTAATTTGCAACCCCCCCAAAAGATTCAGAAAATTGGTGAATTTACTCTATGTATCGGCTATGAGTCGATAACTCACGAAAAGTCCAACCCAAAATAAATACGAAACAGAAATGACAATTACAGGATATATACTATATACCTTGAAATTCATACTTCCAAAATATTGTGGTCATTTGTATCGGTACTATTTTGTTTGGTCGGTTCTCCGGAAACAGGTGTTTCACAAAAAAACACGTACGAACTTGATGAAAACTAGGCGATATGCGAAGAAAATAGGCAATGCATCTGGCCTTTCTACCTTAAATCCAGGTCACTCCTGCTTGTTTACGTGGGTGCGATTTCTGACTCCTATACTGACTACTGTTTATCGCCATGCCTTGCAAAAACTACTACAGAACTAGCTACTATGTGTAAACAAAAGCCAAAAACCCAGTTTTCTGGATTTGCGGGCGTTTGCGGGTTTTTGCAGGGGTTTTGCGGATTTTTTTGCAGATTCTGTGCCAAAGTGCTTTGGGCAGAAAAAGTAAGCGGGGTTGGGGAGTCAGACCTGCATACCCAACTCCAATGGCCCTCCAATGCACTACTCTGGCAGCCTCAAAAATTGCTACTTACATGCGCGGGAGAGGGGAGGAAAATATGATGAAACATTCAAAATTATCCAATTTCCATGGATTTTGAGCGTTTCAGTTTTTGATGACGATCCCCAAAAAACTAGGCGGCTTCGACCATTATTGGTAAACAACCAACAGGGTCAAACTATATTAAATTTGGCGTTTGAAGATCCAGGTATATATGTATATACGGTATATATGTATATATTAAACATATATATATTAGGGCATTACCATTATTTTCCAATGGGATTTGCCATGGCTATGGCCATTGCTCAGACTCGCTTAGGAGCTCTTGAAGGCGACGCAGCTGGAGATGACGCGTCTCTTGCAAGTCTGTGAGGCCGGTCTTGTCGTCGTTTCATCCATTCTTGTACCAGCTTGGATGGTTGCGCAATCCTGCACCAGCAAAAGGATGAAACCCCATAAGTAATGGGATAAACCACTTATCAAGTGCTGCAGGATTTTGCAACCATCCACGGTAGGATACTTTCATGACTGGGACATTTAGCCAACATGAATGGCAATGTTTTTTCTGTGAACTAACATCAATGAGATACTGATTGTTATATCATGCAAATGACTGGGATATAGTTAAGTCACACTAATGGAATAGTTATTTATCATGACTTGCATAATCAACTCACATGAATGGTGATTTTTGGAATATAATCAATCAATATACTGTATTTGATTTTTCTGTTTTTTTTCTGTAGGGTTCCTTAAGGCTGGTTCCCTTCCTCGCTACTCGTGAGTGAACTTCCTTGCCTTTGACAGCTTGGGTTGGAGTGGTGACGTTTTTTGTTTTGGGGTGATGTAATTTCTTGTTCATGGGTTATTATTCCCCACCTGCCAGGTGAGGGTTGTTAGATTTTATCAGAGTTGTTCTTCTCCTCCTCGGCTAGCTCTTCTCCTCTTCCTTCTCCTCCTCCTCCTCGCCTCCTCCTCCTCCTCCAGTTTCTCCTCGACCATGTTTGCATCAACTTCCACCTGCATTCCGCCTTGCCAACTCTTTGCCAAGCTCTTTGCCAACTCTCTTCGCCAAGCTCTTTGCCAACTTCCCAGCTCAGTGTGCACCGCTGGACCTCAACATGGGACCTTCCCAGCTCAGTGCGCACTGCTGGACCTCAACCTGGGACCTTCCCAGCTCAGTGTGCACTGCTGGACCTCAACCTGGGACCTTCCCAGCTCAGTGTGCACCGCTGGACCTCAACCTCGGACCTTCCCAGCTCAGTGTGCACTGCTGGACCTCAACCTGGGACCTTCCCAGCTCAGTGTGCACTGCTGGACCTCAACCTGGGACCTTCCCAGCTCAGTGTGCACCGCTGGACCTCAACCTGGGACCTGCCCGGCTCAGTGTGCACCGCTGGACCTCAACGGCCAGATAGAATGCCAGATAGAATGTCAGATAGAATGCCAGAAGATATGCCAGATAAAATGCCATGAGATATGCCAGATAGAATGCCAGAAGATATGCCAAATAAAATGTTAGAAGATAGGCCAGATAGAATGCCAGAAGGTATGCCAGAGAGAACGCCAGAAGATTTGCCAGGTAGATTGCCAGAAGATATGCCAGATAGAATGTTAGCAGATATGCCAGATAGAATGCCAGATAGAATGCCAGAAGATTTGCCAGATAGAATGCCAGATAAAATGCCAGAAGATATGCCAGAAGATATGCCAGATAGAATGCCAGATAGAATGCCAGAAGACATGCCAGAACATATGCCAGAAGATATGCCAGGTAGAATGCCAGAAGATATGCCAGATAGAATGCCAGATCGAAGCCAGAAGAAATGTCAGATAGAATGCCAGAAGGTTTGCCAGTAACAAATCGATAAATGTCATGGTGGGGATCACATGAAGTAAAGTAATGTACTTTTTTTTAAGTTTGCCTGTATGGTAAAACACTCTTTTCGCCGTCTATCACCAACCTTGGGTTTACTATGCAAATTATATATTTATATTTTCATAAATTCATATTTGACTTATACATACGTATATATGACACATGTATTTTTCTTTGGATGTGCAACGATCATCGGCTTCGGCAAATTCTTGTTGATAGTGGTTACTGTCTTGGAATGTTCAGCTGTCAAGTTTGCTGGGGGATGCTATATTGTTTCGCAATGAAAAAAAGAAGATAACAGGATAATCAGAGCAGACAATCCACCAAGACGGAGATTTCTAGGCAATCTGACTGGAGGATGTTGGTGAAGAAACGCAAACAAAAATGAGATGCACTAGAAATTGGGACAGGTAAACTGGTGAACCATTGGTTTTATCGCGGCAAACCCAATGCCATAAAGCTACCATCTGGGACTGTTTTTACTCCCCATGGAAGGCAACTTTGGGGATGTTTTATGGCATTGGGTTTGCCGCATTATTCACCTATCACACTGAATTAGTAGATTTTTGTTGGGAAGCGATCCAACGGTCTGCCATCTAGATAGCCCAGGGGTCAGCAGTGGTGCAGGTGAGAAGCAAAATCACATTTACTTGCAACCACTGGGGAGAACTTAAGGGGTTAAACGTTGGTGGATGACCCATTTGAGTATTTTGATGCCGAGTAGGGAAATCGAATGATTGCTGTATGTGTATGCTGTTGCGGTTGTTGTTCTTGCTGCTGCTGGTGCTGTTCTTGCTGGTGCTGTTCTTGCTGGTGCTGGTGCTACTGGTGCTGCTGCTGGTGCTGCTGCTGCTGGTGGTGGTGGTGGTCGTGGTGGTCGTGGTGGTCGTGGTGGTGGTGGTGGTCGTGGTGGTGGTGGTGCTGGTGGTGCTGGTGGGTGCAGGTGTTCTTCTTGTTCTTCTTGTTCTTCTTGTTCTTCTTGTTCTCTGGGTACGCATGGTTTCCTGGGTGAGAAGGCCTTCCCGTCGGGGGTTTGCATCAAATGAACCTGATCGACTTGATTGACACGCAGGATACAGTTTGTAATCTAGGCGTCCGGGCTTTCACCCGACCCCTACAACTGCGCTTTTGCATGCCGGGGCCACGGCGCTCACCCTTTGCTACCCGCCAGGAACAGAGGATGGCCCTGGGGGTGTCTTGGTGTGCAGGTTTTAGGTTTCGCTGCGTTTTAATGGGGATAATTTAGCAACAGCATCCAACAGCTATAATTAGTGACACCCAATGATATATAATAACATGTCTGACTTTTGCGCAAGCTTTGCGCCCACTCGAAGATTCAAAGATCCTGCATGACGTCCTGTGTGCGGCCAAAATTCTGTGTTGCTTAGTTTTGGGGCATTTCAGACCTGCAAGTCTCATGAATTGTCCATGAATTTTACAGCCACCTTGCAACAGAGATATGTACCCGCTAATCAACATTTACAATTATATATACAAAAACGAATACTGTAACTGTTTAAAGTTTATATATATATATATACATATATGTACATATACATATATATATATATATTATATATATATACTTATATTTGCCAACCGTTTTTAAATTTTGACTGGGCTGTTGAGGTCATTTTCAGGAGTTTGATCCTTGTGGATGATTTCGTTTGATAGAAGCGCATTGATCCGCATTCTACCAGTTTGTTTGCCACGCTTCGTGGGTTTGACGCTGAGGACACACAAATACACGAAAATTCTCTTCTTTGTTTCTTCGAAAGGTATGCTTTTTGGGGATCAGTGTCAATTCTCAGCAATGGAAAAATACAATATTTTTTAAATAATTATTATTCCCGGTTTGAGATTCACCAGCACTGAAGACATTCATCAAGTCTCCCCGGTCTCACCCCGGAGCCTCACTAGTGCTTCAGGCAGAGCTGTTGAACGCCAATCAGCGCCTTCAAGCCCTGAAGACTATGGAGACCGTGTCCGAATGCACCGACGAAGAAAAAGGTGCCGCGGAAGTTGTGAAGGACTTTTTGAACACGGTTCCCTCAAATGTTTGATGACTACAGTTATGGCCATTTACCAGTTATAAGTGGTTATAAATGGGATTATACATTCTATAAATGGGGTTATAAGTACTTATATCTGGTAAATGGCCATAACTGTAGGTATTTAATAGGATCTAACCTTCATTGATTTGGTTGTAGCATGTTTTATCCAACAATAGTATGGGGCATGTATGGAGTATGTATGGATCATAGTCCATGAGCTGGGAATCCCGTTCTTCACCGCGCTGGCCTTTCCCTGCTGGATTCAGACGGAGGTTAGTTGATTCGTGTCCCAGAAATTTGCTGATTCAAATCGCATTATAATATATTATAATCACAATGCGTTTCTTCAAATCCAATTCTCATTGCCGAACCTCTTCATTTTCTGGCTCAAAATCGAGAGTCTTGGTGGGAAATTCTACCGTTTCCTTGGCTACCCTCTGGAAATTTAACATATCTATGCAAAATGGTCCGTTTCTTGATGATTTATTCATAGCTATGTCGGTCGACCAGAGGGTCCCTGCTACATGTACGTCCATGTATGGATGATTTTCCCAGCGAGAAATGTTCACCATTGATTTTCTCATGGTTTTCCCATGGTCTTCTATGTTTTTCCATGTTTTTCCCATGGTTTTTGGGGTCGTTTTCCATGGGAAAAGCAACGATTTTCCCATGACATCCCCAACTTGGTCCAGGCTCGGGCGCCTTTGGTGCCTCGAAGAGCATGCAGGACGACGAGGATGACGAGCCCAGCACCTTGGGCTTCGGGGCTTTGGTCTGGGGATGTCTGGGGATGGTCAGGACGCTCAACTTAAGAATTCAATCGATGCCAATCTTTTACTTGATGCTCCTTTTAAATCTCAAAAATGAAAGGATTAGTAAGGATTTGAATTGATTTGAATCTACTTTCAGTTGATTTTAGCTTGTATATAACCTAAATGAATATTTAAGAATTTAAGGGTAAGTAAGGATTTCGTTCAAGTCACCTCCCTTTGGAACCTAAAAGAAATCTGGAAGCACCCACAATCCAGGCTCATCGCCTCAGGATCAGAACCCAGCCAGCAGGGCTTTCTGATCCACTCCACCACGAAGCCGTCTTCGATGGCAGAGTGTTTTGGCCGAAGCTGATGTGTAAGATTTATTTGGGATTTCTTAGGGACTTAGGGACCATTCGAAGTTTTTTTCCACACTGGAAACCACCAAGATATTATGTAATATCATGTCATCTCTTTGGAGGTGCAGTTCCAATGAACTAAGTGAACATATTTCACCCTAGTGATTTTGGGACCCCCACAAAGCCCCAACTTATGTGAACTCACCGTCGTCATACCCACCACCCCAAGTGCACCGGCACATATGTCAATATGATACCGGATATCAATATAAATATATATATAGAGAGAGAGAGAGAAAATATATATATAGACTATATAATAGATAGGAAAATCGTATAATTGTGATTACTGAGGGAAAGAACGTATACACATGTCATGCATCTATATTTTCAATCTTAATGAATACAATACATTTTGAAGTGTACGCACAGCATATGTAAATTTTATATACATACATTTTTTATATATAATCATATATATACGTATATATATATATATGTATATATGTATATATATATATGTGTGTGTGTGTCCCTGTTTTTTGATGAACGTGTAGGCACCACTCACCAAAAACCTTCCCCAATTCACCAAGGATGTGCGATGACAAGCCTCCCTCCATGGAACCATCGGCGGCGCAGGCGCATGGGAATTCTTCAAGCTAACATCTTGATGGGTTCCTAGCGAGCAAAGTTGAGACGAAACGGGAACTAAAACAATGTTTGAACCGAGCAAACGATGATAAATAAACAGTTTAACTAAAAAATGAGTATTTGTAGCGAGTACTATTGCGTTCTATGGGTGTTAGCCTTTGTGCTTTAATGCGTTTACCAAAAAATGTGCCATCTAACGGCCGTTAGATAGGGCTTTAAATCATCAAGTTTTCCTTCTTTAAAGATGTAGCATGCCCCTATCGCTGTTCTGCATCTTTTTCAGCATCTCTCCAAATCCTTGAAAGTTTGCCAAATTTGATCGCATCCAACCTGGCGTAAACTAACATAGATGTGGAAAACCCATGGTTTCCCTACAAACATAGCAAACAAATGGTGGGTTTCCCACATCTATGTCAATTTCCCTGAGGGGAAAAGTTCCCATTATATTTCATAATGTTCCCATGATATCTCAAAAAAATCTGGGATATAGAGAGATCATGGAAACTCTAGAGTGGATGGAAGAAATCCTGCACCACCAAAAGGATGGTTGGAACATGTTGAAACCCTCAGATAATGGGATAAACTACCTATCAACTAGTGCAAGATTTCGCAACCGTCCACAATATAATCCCTTCCCACGTTCATATTGCACACCCCCTTAGAAACCACGGTTTAGCAGGGAATTTCAACATTTTTTGGGGACCATTGATGGGGTGCCCCTGCAACGGTTGAAGCGTTGGCCATTCGCCAGGCCCCAAAGCGTCCGTCCACCCGCTCGGAGCGCGACGCGAAGTCGAAGTCGGAGCGCCCACGCAGACCCAGCGACCGCGGCAGGTCGCCAAAGGAGTCGCCCCAGGTGCCCTGCTGGGGATGTAGATTGATTCACCGTGGATTAATAAACCCCAAACGGCTGTTTAATTGGAAGGGTACCATTTAAGTATTAGATTATGACTATTGGAGGAGTACCCCCTAATTAATCAACCATGGTTTATTAATCCGGAGTTGACATTAATGGCTAATGGTAATGGTTAAATGTTGGTTAGCAATATGGTAAAAATTGGTAAGAAGTAAGAATGGTTAATGATGGTTAGTAATGGTTCATGATGGTTCGTAATTGTGTCATGATTATTTATGATGATTAGCAGTCACTAATGGTGAAGAATTAATAGGTAAATCAACTATTTCTATGGGCCATGTTCAAAAGCTACGTTAAATCACCTACCGGGTAGCATCTACGACAATATGGGAGGGATGAAGGGGGAATTGTTCATGGCTCAGATAGTTCGATGTTAAACATGTCATCGTTGAATGGTGGTTTAATACGCATATTTGCATCATCAAAACCACTCTCCAGCCACTAATATAATAATATGTTTAAGTAATCCAATCTCATGATCGAATCAGCGCACAATATTGGATGTAGGAATATCATATCATGGTATGTGAGAATTTCCCATGGCAACTGATCGGTGTTGCATGATTTTGTCATGATCATGATGATCATACATGATCCTCAGCATTCAGACTGTTTTATTCAGGGTTAACATTGTTCAACAACGACTACATTCATAGTTCTCGTCTAAGTGGCTGCTGATCGTTTTTGTTGACCTTCAATGATATGCAATGGCTTGATTCCCCTCAAATTTCCGAATTTCGGGCGAACGGCATAGGTTAAGTTGAACAATCGTCCCGAAATAGTGGTTTCTCCCAGTTTGGGACCCACATTTCATGCAAAATACCGTCATGTCATGTCATTGTATTAAAGTGGTAAAGTGTTAATTGGTCAATCCAATGATGAAGCCATCACAATGATTTGGGCTATTGTTTGTCCAAACAGTGGGTAAAATGATGGACATGCAAGTATTTGAGATTCAAACATATCAAAAACCACGACATGTAGCAAACCCAATAGTAAAACGTCACCATATCATGGTTTGTATCAACCATCCCCAAACGGTACATGGCATTGAGTTTACTACATGAAAACGTATTAACTAAAATCCATTAAACAGCCATGAAAAGCACCATGAACAGCCAAAAACAAAATGTGAATCCACATGTGAACACCATTAAAACCATTGAGCAGCCATGAAAAGCTTTGCTTTCCCGGATCTCCCGCAGGTGACCAAGTCTCCGTCCAACATCTCGCAGAATTCGAACGTTCCTCGTTTTTTTCCTCTCGGGAGCTTGGAATTCTTGGGACCATCAGGGTTCACAGTGGTTAATACTTGGGTTTATAAGTTTATATATGGTTAACATATGGCTGATATTAGGTAAAGATATGGTTATAATATTGGGTCAGTATATGGTCACATTTAAACAACGTCAAAAGCCGGTTCGAACTGCGTCTATTGCGTGGTCTATGGTTATGGTTATTGTTGGGTTAACATATCATATGTAGGATATGGGGGTGATATATATATATATATGTGTGTGTGTGTGTTCTCCAAAGGAGTTGCATGCACGAATCCCGTCCGACCGGAGCTTTTGGGTTTAAAGGTGACCTCAGCTACCTCCTCCCTAGGCCTCCCGTGAGGCAAGGGTAGGGGGAGCTGAGGTGCTTCTTGGTTTGTTGAAGGCCTGGTGACAGAGCTCTGGTGCAGGTAGAAAGAAAGAAAGGAAGACAGGCAGAGGAGGAGGAGGAGAGAAGCAAAGAAAAAGGAAACTCTCACAAAGGAGCAGGGGGGCTTGAGTCCCTGTCCTCCGAGGTTGGAGCCTGGGAGAGTCTCCTTTTGAGGTGAGAACGGAAGAATTGGTGGCAAAAGTCACACATGGCTTGGGCCCTGAAGACGCCTTGCTGAGAGGCAGCTTTGGAAGCACCACGATGGCCAGAAGGGAGGCCAAGACAAGGCCATCATATTGCTGAAGAAGTGGGATGATTTTGCCTCAGGAATGTTAAAGGCTTCCAATTTGCCTGTGCTGGATGCCTGCTACCAGTGTTAGGCCCAGAAGCATCCGAAGTTTGGAGTGTGTCTACCACCTTTGTGCTGATGCCTTTACAGCTTGTCCGCTGCTTCGCGGTGAGCAGAGGGGAGCAATCTTGCCTTTTATTTCAAGGTGGAGGCTGCCTTTGGTCTAGAGCGGTGGACACAGTGCGTATCTGGGTGGACAGCTTCATCCCATGATGCCGGTTAGAGCCGAAAGCAGGATGCGAGGTTGAGACCTCTAAACCTTCTGGCTTGGAGTTGGAGCGCGAAGTTTTTGATCAGGAAAGGAGAAGGTATTAAAAATGCTGGCGAAAGAGGACATGCCATGGGGACGCCGGGAGACTGTTGGTGGATGGTTTTTACCCAGGCAGCCCTTTGCAACAAGCAATGTCCAAGATGCAGCATGGTAGCGTGATGGATTCTTAAGATTTCTGACAGGCCGTGATGTTGAAGGACGGAGCTGTGACGTCCCAAAGTCCTCAAGATGTTTCTGACTTATGTCCACGCGACAGCTATGGATTGTTCGTCTGGGGTTTGTCTGTCATGTAGGGTATTTCTTGAAGGCTTTTCTTGAAGGCTTTTGCCCTTCGTGGCCAGGCAGACTGCAGTGAGAGGTTGCCCCAGAACATGCTAATGTTGACTGCCCGGCCCGTTGGTGGCTCCCAAGTTGAGCGGCCGTCTTTGGGATAATGCATGAGAGTCAAGAGCCTTACTCCTTGAAATGAATTTTGCCAGGCAGACCCCACTATCGGGTAGCCGGCTGACTATGCCACAAAAAAATGTTTAAAGTTTAAAAGCGTGTGCCCCAAGGGAGGAGGGAAGCTTGAGCTTCTATCCCCACTGGCATGAGCCAGGGGTCCTCTCCTCGGGGTATGGGGGAGGATGAGCAAAGGTTTGGTTAGCGAGTTGCGAGCTTTCACTGCTTTTTGGGCTGGGCAGACCCCGCTATGGGGTAGCCCGCCCAGCAACATTTTTGAAATGGTGCCGCCAACGGCTTGAGGTCTAGTTCCCCTCCTCGCTGGCATGAAGTGGGGGCCCGGAGAGTCATAAGCCTTTCTTTCTCCTAGGCAAATAGCTTCGGACGATAAAATCGGGCCTGCAAGCAACTGTTTTGGAAGGAATGGAGATGTCTTCAGTTCCCATGCCCGGTGTCCTTGAGTTTCTGGATCCGCTGCCATGACCCAAGATTCATTGAAAAAAATCCCTCTTGGCTAAGCAGCTGCATTGGCCTGCCTATCCCTACGAGGCATGAGTGATATTGAGGCATGGAAGGGGTAACCAAGAGTTTTTGGATTGAGAGCCACGCGGATCATGGCACGAGCGTTTGGCCAGTCAACACTTGCGGCCAGCAGAGACATATTTTTCTTTCCCGAAATCATCCTCCAGATCCTCTTCATGGGGTAGGAGAGAAGGGCAGTTCTGTTGTTTTGAATGGTCTCACGGATCATGGCACGTGCGTTGGGCCAGTCAACTTTTGTGGCCAGCATAGAAGTACCCCCAAGATCTTTCCCCAAAATCCCCCTCCAGATCCTCTCCATGGGGTAGGAGAGATGGGCATGGGGTAGGAGAGATGGGCAGTTCTGTTGTTTTGAATGGTCAAGCTGCATGAAAGGTGAAGGGGAAAGCGTTTGAAAGGAAGGAGGACTGAATGCTGAGCCACGTCACCTGGGTCTCTCTGACTGAGGTGTGGTAGCAGCAGTTTACTCTTGCCCGGGTATTGCGCTCCAGAAGGCACTTGGGTGATTGGCGGTGCCAGGGTCAGATGTCGGCCAAAGGACAGGGAAGCGCGGCGCTTCCCACACCTGCCGCTTTACCAACACCCAAGTTCCAAACCACAGTGAGTTGTGGGCACGGGGCGTATTTGGAGCAAGGGTTTCACAGATGGCCAGCAACCAGTAATATTTCCAAATCCAAGAAACCTCCCCGGTTTCCCTCTGTGGGAGAATGTGGGGAAGCATGAGGTGGATGGTGATACTGCTCAAGTCAAGCTGGCTTGTCCAACCAGTAGAGACGCCCTCGATGGTGGCAATATCTTGTTAGGCCCAGGAGCCAGGAGGAGGTGGTGGCAGTGAAACGATAACGTTTGTGACCGTGATGCGGCGCTGGTGCCGGCGTGCTTGAGAGGCTGTAAGTCGGGAAGTGGCTTGGCTTTTGTCCAGCAGTAGAGATCTTGTGTGCTTGATGGCACAATTTGTTCGATCTAGCCGCTTGTGGGCTCGCCTGAGTTGTCGCCATTGTAGCCGCGTCTGGCAGTCAGCTACTTGGAAGCTGGCGGTTTGGAGGAGCAAGGGGCCACTGGCAGCAATATTGCTTCCCCCCTTCTTGCATCCAAAAACGAGACCTGCGGCATGAAGGCTGCTGACCGGACTTGTTCTTTCCAAAGACGTTTGATTTTGCTGCAGAGCAATAATGTTTTCGTGCAGACAAAGTTCCATCAATCCACAGGTCAAAACTATTTTGTCTAATTCGTAAAGCGCCCCAGCAAGAAGCCACTAGAGTAGCTATGTGGCCATGTGCCACATCATGTGAACTGGGTCAGCCGATCGCAGCTGGGGCGTTGTTTCTGCAATTACCCTGTGATGTGGGTCAGGTGCTGGACTTGAATGTGTACTGTTGATTTGTTTGGATTCAGGAGCAGCAGTTTGTTGCAGCTGCTCGATGTTACGCGTTCCAATGGCTCCCATTCACACTGGCCGGCCTTGAAGTTGTCTGCCCGTCCAGCACCTTTGACTGATAGCCGGCACATGCGGCTGTGGCGAGAGCTAGCTGATCGGTGTCAAAACTAGCGTCTTTGCAGTGCATGTTTTGTCTCCTTGATCTGTTAGTGTCATGGTTTGACGGCATGCAAGCTGCCTTTGACTATGATCTGTTAACGCTGTCTGTTTTTAGAGCCAGCAGATTTTCAACCAGGGATCGAAGCTCACCACGATGTTTGCCACGGATGCTCGCTGCAAGCTGGAGTACAAGGGTCTGCTTTGTTGACTTGCCTTCGCTGGAAATTGAAACTGAGCAGGCGGCAGGCGCATTCATTACATTCAGGGCCTCTAATAATGTTCGGCTGTAGCTTGAATTAGGATCCGTGCAGGCTTGGCCGGTAGCCATGCGGATCCTCTGGGCCACTTTTTCGATTACCAGCTGGCCTGCGCTCTTCCCGGTTTTCAAAACTGCCACGTGTCGTGTGGAGAAGCTGCAGAGCTGCGCTGTGAAGTTTGAGTTAAAGCCTTTAGAACTTCATCGCCGCTCTGCCAAGGAGGTTCAAGCTCTTCTGCCCTTCGATCTGGCAGTGGCAAAATCCAGACTTCATACCTAATAGTTGGAGCCACCAAAGCACTGTGGCTGGCGAGCTGCTCCGACCTTTCACGGTCTGTCCTGGGAGTTGATCGGCAACCCAGGAACAATGGCTCGCCCCGCTGTCATGGCAGCGCCTGGCATTTCTGTTAAATATAGTGCAGCTTTGCTGGTAAATTCGTTCATCAAATTCCAATTTTTGTTTCCAAGATTCATCTATGAAAGAAGATGGCCCAAGGTTCGTGGTCCAGTTCTTGGCCAGATACTTTGGCCAATGGCATTATGAGAGAAACATGGGCAGGTTGCGAAAGGCACAGGGACCTTTCCAAGAAGCTGCGGCTAGTTTCTGGGTGATGCCTTGAACGTCGAGGGTAAGCACCCGCAGCCTGTCCAGAAACTCTGCCGCAGCTCATCTGCATCTCGATATATCAGTCACAGACCCACCTTGTATTGAGGAAATTTCACGCGCAGTCTCAGCTGCCGCGCTGCTTGACCTATTGCCATTTTAACCAAAGCCTTCAGAAGCATGTCTTCACCAGCTCAGCCATGCAATCCTCGAAATATATCCGCGCTGCTCGCCGAGCGTCTCGCAGCCGGGTTGGGACGCATGGAAGGGGCGAAGTGAAGGGGCTTGGTTTCGTCAAGTTATGCCTAGGCCAGTATTTGGCTAGGGTGTTTTCGGTTTCATTTACCCAAAGCCATTCGTGTGGCTAGGGGGATCTGGTTAAATTTCCAAGACCATGTGCTGGCTAGGATGATCTTCTTTAATCATCCTAGACCATGTACGTTTCGTTGTAGTTGGTTAGGGTGTGTTCCGTTTCGTTTACCCAAAGCCATTTGTGTGGCCAGGGTTATCTTTGTTAAATTCCAAGACCATGTACTTGTTAGGATGATCTTATTTAATCATCCTAGACCATGTACGTTTCGTTACCTAAAGCCATTTGTGTGGCTAGGGTTGTCTATGTTGTCTGTCTTTATAAAATCATCCAAGACCATGTGCTGGCTAGGATGATCTTCTTTAATCATCCTAGACCATGCACTGGCTAGGATGATCTTGCCTTTTTGGCTAGGATGATCTTTGCCTTTTTAGTCAGATGGCACATTGACCCTGGCACAGAAAAGTGCGCTCTTAAGAGTCAATGCAGAGGGCGGAAAGGGCATGTAGTGCATGTGTTCTCCAAAGGAGTTGCATGCACGAATCCCGTCCAACCGGAACTTTTGGGTTTCCCACCACCTGCCCCGATCTCCTCCGAAGGAACGAAGTGAAGGGGCTTGGTTTCGCCAAGTTATGCCTAAGCCAGTATTTGGTTAGGGTGTTTTCGGTTTCATTTACCCAAAGCCATTCGTGTGGCTAGGGGGATCTTGTTAAATTTCCAAGACCATGTGCTGGCTAGGATGATCTTCTTTAATCATCCTAGACCATGTACGTTTCGTTGTAGTTGGTTAGGGTGTGCTCCGTTTCGTTTACCCAAAGCCATTTGTCTGATGATGGGTATGTAGGAAGAAAAACTGGACAGAAAAAGGGAAGAACGAAGGAGAGAATATTCAGAAATGACAGTAGGATCCAATGTTGACAGATGACAAAAGTACACTATCCTCTCCATCATCACCCACCGTTTCCTAAAATGAGGGTACCCCCAAATCATCCATTTTGATAGGATCTTCCATTATAAACCATCCATTTTGGGGTACCACCATTTTAGGAAAACCCCAAATAAGGAACATTAATAATTAATTGACAGTACCGATATCAACATGATTTCAATGATCGGTGGTGAAGATTCTAACTCAATAGTAACAACCCTAAAACGATAGAAAAGTGTGTTGATATGAAAATAAATACGGTACATAGTACATATCATCTAAATCATCTAAGATGTCATATCCTGCCTACACCTGATTTTTGCGGCATTTTTTCGGCATGATATTGATATCACCCAGTTCCTTGTTGGCTGAGATGTCGGACGTGAACTCGGACTACTCGGCCTGCGAGTCCGCCTATTCCGATGGCAGCTACGCCTCCTGCACGTTTGAAGCGGATTGGGACGACGATAACGACAAGCGCAAAAGGCGCCTGGCAACTCCAGCATTTCTGGGGTTTTTTCTTGGAGGGATGGGGAATCATCATGAATTATGAGAATAGTACAATCCTCAGGTTAAAACTAGTTAAAGGATGGATACCGTGTATTGAATATAATGTTCGCTGCTGATTAGTGTGAGGCCCCCCCCCTCCCCCCCTCAAACAATTTGAGGATACTCTATAACTCGCACTTTTCTTTCTGCTCCCCCCAACAATTTGTTGGTTAATCAACTTAAGTAAGGATTTCAATTTACTTTTAATTTACGTTCAATTGATTTCAATTTACTTTTAATTGGTTTCAATTTATTTTCAATTGATTTAAATTTATCTTTAAATTATGTAAATTTACTCTTAATTTACTTTCAATTGATTTCAATTTACTTTCAATTGATTTCAATTTACTGATTTCAATTTACTTTCAATTAATTTCAATTTACTTTCAATTGATTTTAATTTACTTTCATTTTGCTTTCAATTGATTTCAATTTAATTTCAATTTACTTTCAGTTTACTTTTAATTGCTTTCAATGGTTTTGTTTTTTTTCACTCCCAAAAGTTGGTGCTCACAATAGAGTACCATCCAAACAATTATATTATTCAGTAACTGAGCCACTCATGAGGTACCCCCTTGAAAAATTGTCTGGGTGCTGTTTTTTTTTTAAATAAGGGTTTAATAAGGCATCTAATTATTTGGGAAACCTTGCATTTTAAAGCTTTAACACAAATATAGCTTTCTAAAGAAAAGGGACTAGCTTTACCCAAAGAAAGGTGGAGAAAGCGTTGTGTTTTTTTCACCCCCAAAAGTGTGTGCTCACAATAGAGTACCATCCAAACAATTATATTATTCAGTAACTGTGCCAATCATGAGGTATCCCCTTGAAAAATTGCCTGGGTGCTGTTTTTAAATAAGGGCTTAGTAAGGCATCTAATTATTTGGAAAACTAAAACCTTGCATTTTAAAGCTTTAACACAAATATAGCTTTCTAAAGGGAAGGGACTAGCTTTACCCAAAGAAAGGTGGAGAAAGGGTTTTGTTTTTTTTTCCCACTCCAAAAATTTGGTGCTCACAATAGAGTACCATCCAAACAATTATATTATTGAGTAACTGAGCCACTCATGAGGTATCCTCTTGAAAAATTGTCTGGGTGATGGTTTTCAATAAGGGTTTAACCAAGCATCTAATTATTTGGGAAACCTTGCAGCTTAAAGTTTAAAGCTTTAACACAAATATAGCTTTCTAAAGTAAAAGGACCAGCTTTGCCCAAAGAAAGGTGGAGAAAGAGTTTTGTTTTTTTCACTCCAAAAAGTTGGTGCTCACAATAGAGTACCATCCAGACAATTATATTTTTCAGTAACTGTGCCAATCATGAGGTATCCCATTGAAAAATTGCCTGGATGCTGTTTTTTTAAATAAGGGTTTAACAAGGCATCTAATTATTTGGGAAACCTTGCATTTTAAAGCTTTAACACAAATATAGCTTTCTAAAGTAAAGGGGCCAGCTTTACCCAAAGAAAGGTGGAGAAAGGGTTTTGTTTTTTTTTCACTCCCAAAAGTTGGTGCTCACAATAGAGTACCATCCAGACAATTATATTATTCAGTAACTGAGCCACTCATGAGGTACCCCCTTGAAAAATTGCCTGGGTGCTTTTTTTTCAATAAGGGTTCAATAAGGCATCTAATTATTTGGGAAACCTTGCATTTTAAAGCTTTAACACAAGTATAGCTTTCTAAAGTAAAGGGACTAGCTTTACCCAAAGAAAGGTGGAGAAAGGGTTTTGTTTTTTTTTTCACTCCAAAAAGTTGGTGCTCACAATAGAGTACCATCCAAACAATTATATTTTTCAGTAACTGAGCCACTCATGAGGTACCCCCTTGAAAAATTGCCTGGATGCTGTTTTTTTTTTTTAAATAAGGGTTTAGTAAGGCATCTAATTATTCGGGAAACCTTGCATTTTAAAGCTTTAACACAAATATAGCTTTCTAAAGTAAAGGGGCCAGCTTTACCCAAAGAAAGGTGGAGAAAGGGGTTTGTTCCCCACCTGCCAGGTGAGGGTTGTTAGATTTTATGTCAGTTGCCTCCTCCTCCTCCTTCTCCTCCTTCTCCTCCTCCTCCTTCTCCTCCTCCTCCTCCGCCTCCTCCTGCCTCGTCCTCCTCTCCTCCTCCTTCTCGTCCTCCTCGTCGTCCTCGTCGTCCTCGTCGTCCTTGCTCAACTGCGACCCGCGATCCACAGTGTTCTCTGCCGGACCTCAACCACGACCATCCACGCCCAGTGTTCCCTGCCGGACCTCAACCACGACCATCCACGCCCAATGTTCCCTGCCGGACCTCAACCACGACCATCCTCCCCCAGTGTTCCCTGCCGGACCTCAACCACGACCATCCACGCCCAGTGTTCCCTGCCGGACCTCAACCGCGAGTATCCACGCCAAGTGTTCCCTGCCGGACCTCATGTAGGAAGATATGGGACAAAAAATGTGCAGAAGAAAGTTAGAAAGAATGTCAGAAAGAATGTCAGAAGATATGCCAGAAGATATGCCAGAAGATATGCCAGATAGAATGCCAGATAATATGCCAGAAGATATGCCAGATAGAATGCCAGATAGAATGCCAGATAGAATGCCAGAAGATTTGCCAGATAGAATGCCAGAAAATATGCCAGAAGATATGCCAGATAGATATGTCAGAAGATATGCCAGATAGATATGTCAGAAGATATGCCAGAAGATATGCCAGAAGATATGCCAGAAGATATGTCAGAATATATGCCAGAAGATATGTCAGATAGAATGCCAGAAGATATGTCAGAATATATGCAAGAAGATATGCCAGATAGAATGCCAGAAGATATGTCAGATAGAGTGCCAGAAGATATGCCAGATAGAATGCCAGAAGATTTGCCAGATAGAATGCCAGAAGATTTGCCAGAAGATATGCCAGATCATATGCCAGATCATATGCCAGAAGATATGCCAGATAGAATGTCAAATAGAATGTCAGAAGATATGTCAGATAGAATGCCAGAAGATTTGCCAGTAAGAAAATGCATAAATGTCATGGTGAGGATCACACGAAGTAAAGTAATTTTTTTTCACTCCCAAATGTTGGTGCTCACAATAGAGTACCATCCAGACAATTATATTATTCAGTAACTGAGCCACTCATGAGGTACCCCCTTGAAAAATTGCCTGGGTGCTGTTTTTTTAATCAGGGTTTAGTAAGGCATCTAATTATTTGTGAAACCTTGCGTTTTAAAGCTTTAACACAAGTATAGCTTTCTAAAGTAAAGGGGCTAGCTTTACCCAAAGAAAGGTGGAGAAAGGGTTTTGTTTTTTTTCACTCCAAAAAGTTGGTGCTCACAATAGAGTACCATCCAAACAATTATATTATTCAGTAACTGAGCCACTCATGAGGTACCCCCTTGAAAAATTGCCTGGATGCTGTTTTTTTTAAATAAGGGTTTAGTAAGGCATCTAATTATTTGTGAAACCTTGCGTTTTAAAGCTTTAACACAAGTATAGCTTTCTAAAGTAAAGGGGCTAGCTTTACCCAAAGAAAGGTGGAGAAAGGATTTTGTTTTTTTCACTCCAAAAAGTTGGTGCTCACAATAGAGTACCATCCAGACAATTATATTTTTCAGTAACTGTGCCAATCATGAGGTATCCCATTGAAAAATTAACTGGGTGCTGTTTTTTTTAAAATAAGGGTTTAACAAGGCATCTAATTATTTGGGAAACCTTGCATTTTAAAGCTTTAACACAAATATAGCTTTCTAAAGTAAAGGGGCCAGCTTTACCCAAAGAAAGGTGGAGAAAGGGGTTTGTTTTTTTTTCACTCCCAAAAGTTGGTGCTCACAATAGAGTACCATCCAGACAATTATATTATTCAGTAACTGAGCCACTCATACTGTAATTAATTAATGAAAAAGGAAGCAATTCAAAAAAAAACAACAAAAAAGGAAGCAGTGAAAAAAATGCAACAATAGTAAATAGAATTAAAAATGCAATAAAACTAAAAATAACAAAATAATAATTAAATACAAATAACATATAAATATCTAAAATTAAAAAAATAATAAATAGACAAATCAGCAATACAGCATTTGGAAAAAATGAAAAAATCTGGAAAAATCTCACAATAGAGGCTCCCCCCAACAATTAGCATGTTACTGAATTAGGAGCAAGAAATTTCTCACAATAGGGTACCATCTCTTTAATCGGGTGCAAACATTAATATAATTTAGAAAACAAGGTTGGGTGTTTCCAACTGGATGGGTGGTGCATGAAGCACCAGAACGGCAGGTTTAAACCACAAAAAATATGGCTCTGGCTGGATGTGTGGCCTGGAGGGGTCGGGAAGTCAGCGACAGAATTTTCAGAATTTGGGGTATGACTATTATTGAGATATATGATAAATGGGTAAAATTTTAGATAAATGGATAAATGGGTAAATTGGTAAAAACTATAGTAATTCCAAAAAACAAAATTGGATAAATGGTGAAATTGTTACTATGTGAGATTCAGTATTAAAACTATGTTGCGATTTTTCCCGAATCCCGAATGCGTATAGCAAGGGTTCCCGTTTCACTCTGGGGGTCTGGGAGTTGAGGGTGTGTTCGCTCGACGGTGCCCAACCGTCCGCAACCGTTCGCAACCGCCCGCAACCGTTCGCAACCGTCCGCGTGAGGGCCATATGGCCGTGCCTCTGGTAAGTTCTGCAAAAGGGGTCACTTTTGGAGGTTTCACATGTGGCGTTGCTTCGTTTCGCGTGGCAAGCGTGGCACTTCGTGACAATCAGACGTGTTTTGTAACGTGTCGTCGTTTTGTGTGGCGCGACCTTTTCGCAAGATGAGTTGCAGTTTTCGTAGTTGGCGCAGCACTTTGGACGTGTCCATCTTCATTTTGCATGGCAGGCGCAGTACTTTAGACGTGTCGTGTTGCGTGTTTTTTGCGAATCGCATTGTCAGGGCTGCGGCAAGGGCCGACAAGGTGCAAATTCCGTGGCAGGGGTGGCCTTTCGTGAGATGTGATGAAACTTGACGGAAGCCTCGCACGAAACATCGATTTTGAGGTAGCAAATTTATAGATTCATAAGAGAACTCATAGGAAACAACCATTTTCAAGCTGCAAATTGTGAAAATTGGAGGAAGTCTCGCACGAAATGCTCGTTTTGATGCTCCCACGTGTCTGATCTCGAGTCTCTGGTTTTCCTGTGGCCTCGCGGTGTGTTTTCGGGGGAAGCTGCAAAACCTTTCCTTTTCGAAGGTGTCAAAGCAGGTTGTCATGCCGTTTTGCGTGGGAGGCGCGGCACTTTGTGACATTCCAACATTGATAACATGTCGAAAGTCGTTTTGCAGGCACAATGATTTTGCGTCATTTTCACAAGATGAGTTGCAGTTTTCCTGGCAGGCGCAGCACTTCAGACGTGTCGCAGTGCGTGCTCTACACTCCACACTCTACACTCCACACTCCACCCTTTACACTTCACACTCCACACTTTACATTCCACACTTTACACTCTACATTTTACACTCTACGCTTTACACTCCACAGTCTACACTCCACAGTCTACACTCCACACTTCACACTCCACACTCCACACTCTACACTTTACACTCCACACTCAACACTTTACACTTTACACTCCAGAAGAGACACTCCACACTCTACACTGTACACTCCACACTCGACACTTTTCACTCCACACTCCCCACTCTGCACTTTACACTCTACACTTGGCACTCTACACTTTACCCTTTACACTCCGCACTCGACACTCTACACTCCACACTTTACACTTTACACTCCACACCTTACACTCCACACTCCACACTCTACACTCCACACTTTACACTCTACACTTTGCACTCTACACTCTGCACTCCACACGCCACACTCTACACTGCACTTTACACTTTACACGCCGAACTGTACACTCCACACTTTACACTTCACACTCTACACTTTACACTCACAACTTTACACTCCACCCTTCACACTCTACACCCCACACTCTACACTCTACACTGTACACTCCACCCTCCACGCTCTACACTTTACACTCTACACTTTACACTCGACACTCCACACTCTACACTTTACACTCCACACTTTACACTCCACACTTTTACCCTTTACACTCTACACTCCGCACTCCACACTCTACACTCCACACTTTACACTTTACACTCCACACTTTACACTCCTTGCTTTACACTTGACACTTTACACTCCTTGCTTTACACTTGACACTTTACACTCCACACTCTACAGTCCACACTCTACACTCCACACTCCACACTGCACACTCCACACTTTACACTTTACAATCCACACTCTACACTCCACACTTTACACTCCAGACTCTACACTCCACACTCCATATTTAGCACGCCACCTTCCTCCATACCACAGTCTACGGTGCACTGGTATGGTAACAGGAAAAAATGCACAAGACTGTTCAAATTAACTATTTCACAAAAGTGTTCTACGTGACTGCATATCCATGTGTTTCGACATCTGTACCATTAACATACGTGTGAGCACTCGGGTTCGTGGGCTGCATCTTGTTGTTTACACGAATGAAATTACAAAATCATTCGGATTTAACATAAACCAGCCAGACAAACATAGGAGTAACTGTACGACCAGGTGATGGGTAATTGGGTTTTTGTAAAGCAACCAACATCATCAATTAACCATCAGCAAATGTGTATGATGGGTATAGAATGGGGACGTACAAAACAAAAACCATGTGGAATTAACCAACAAACGTTCGGATTCAATATCTTTAGGATTTGACGAATGTACAATGGATACTAGCGCGTACGAAGTGGAGATGTGAAGCCTTATGTTAACTAGTTTGCAGGGCCATTTGCCATGGTTTGAATGTGGAATAATTTGGATGATATTTGTTGGCCATCCCTTCTGCCACAAATAAAATTCCATCAGAAACCTTTGGCTTAGTACTTGCCCAAATCATTTTGGGGTTCCATTTGGGAAGTGTTTGATACTACGCTGATGGGATTCAATGAATCAAATTGCCAATCGGGCCAAAAACATCCCTATGACTCATCCTACAATTTTATTCCTCCTGCATTCATGGTTGAAAATCGCATCAGTAAGTACCCTTTTGGTAATCCAACATAGCTACGAAAAAAATGGCCTGATGATTTACTCCCTGGTAAACTGTCACATAACTATGAAAAACCACCATTTTTCATGGGTAAATCGACTATGTCTATGGTCATTTTCAATAGTTTTTGTATGTTTAGCAGAGGGTACCTATTCACCGTGGTTTTACCATCGCAACCATTGCCGCGTTCAGGAAGAAGCGCAGCCGCAGATCGGCCACGTGGCAGGTATAATTCGACAGTTTGGAGATTTGAGAAACATAATCAAAAGATCTAGAGATATAGCATCTTAGGAATTTATGTGCTATTTTGTCAGGGCCCCTCAAAAGATATACACAGCCACGATCAACTAATGATAACTAATGTATTTGATTATCTCGGTAATGGCAACCGTCACCTCTCCATAAAATGGTAGCGCTCGCCCCTGCCGAGGGACAGAAAAAAAGAACGAGACCATCGGCAACCTGACGAAGCAAAGGGCATGCATCGGCAATCCAAGAGATAGGAAAATAACAATAAAATCATTATGAGGATTTACCCTCTGGTAATTTAACATATAGCTATTGAAAATGGCCCAGTTATAGTTGATTTACCTATTAAACATGGTGATTTCCCACAGCTATGTTAGTTTACCAAGAGGGTATATAACCAAGAACATCATGGGGATTCTGTGATGAGTACCCCCCACAGGGTGCGTGATTGTTTAAAAGCGGTATGGTTTGTGAAATTTATATTATAGTCATACAGCTCACTTCTGATTAAGAAAACACGTACTCGGTATTCCCTGAGATGCCCAGAGGGTATCCAGTCCTGTGTTGCCGTTTCACCAGCTCAGGATTCAAAAATATGGACAACCTCAGTATATATATATATATATACACCAGCACCAACTATTTTTATATGATCTTCCCATTCAAACCTGCATTTTGTTTGGGAATTCTCCAGCAAGCCATGACCGGCACGTCCCCAAGGCATCCTTTTGAACGAAGAGCAGCCTCTGAAAGCGTCACTGGGGTCCGAGAAAAAACCGAAGATGTTGTGGAAGAAGCCACAGAACCAACAGAACCGAGCATCAATGGATATCATTGGGTATAATGGTATATTTGGAGCATGACTCACTAAAGTTATTCAGCTATATCACCAGCTATATATAAATATTAATAAGTGGAATAAACGCGGAAGAAAAACGGCAACATATGAGTGTCTTCGGAATACCCCGAAACCATGGGTTTACCGTTGCATTTTTTGGATGATTTTGGTGTCCCTTGTCTTTTTAAGGAAACCCCATGTCCTGAAACTTGAACCAACCAAATGAAAGCTTTGTTATCGGGCAATCTCGGAATTTGGGGGAGTAAAGGAGCCAGGGATCATTATGCCATGTCCGGTCCAAATAAGATTTAATGGGGATGGGGAGCAATTTTAATCCCATTTATCCTTGACATTCTTAACATCTAAAGATTTGATGAGTTTGTAGGTGTAGCGGTGCAGAACGATGTG